AGATGCTCCATAACCTTCAGGAGGTGGCCCAGGCAACACCTGATCCAAGGTCAACCTTTGCCCTTTCTCGACGATCTCACCTTGATAAGAAATACGGACGTCACCAATTTTTCTACCCCACTCTCCTCCCATCTCCGGGGATCGAGGTATCTTGCTCTTGGACTCCGAACTATCATCAGCGAAAGCCTTCACCATGACTCATCGTCACTGCTCCTCGCTGGACTTTTGCCTGGCTGCCACCACCAGTCCACAAGAAGTTGAGGAGCACCACAGAGAGCGAGTGCCAGATCAGTAAACCGGCACGCCTTGCATGTCGGCAGGCCTTCTTTTCAGCCCCACCGAATTTTCTGAAGTCTCTGGATCAAAAAGGTTCCTGAGCTCCTCTTTTCCATCTGCCCACAGCGGCAGCGGAAGGATCTCCCTTCGCCTCCCGCTTTTGCCGTCGTCAGACCCCGGCGGCTCGATGGACCGTTTGAGGTAAGCACCCAGGTTCGTCCCACTTCTTAAGCACACCAAAGCTAGGAGTCCTCCTGACTGCGATATGCTTAGGGATCCGCACTCCTCCTCCTTCAGCCACCGCTGCGTCAACTCGAGACTCTCCTCAACTCCAGCTTCAAACTCCGCACTCATCAAACTGGTGTCTTCCCCTTCACTTTCAAGGGGGCGCTGGAAGGGCTTGACTCCTCTTCACAGGGTTCACTATCGCTTTCGCTCCGCCCCAGCTCTTCCACGGCCTTCCTCTCTCCGGCCAGGCTTTCTTTTGCCAAGCGGACCTCCTTGGCTTCCTTGAGTACAACTCTCCGCTGTTCGCCTCCTCTGATTTCTGGCGTCCGATCTCTTTTGGCTCTTCGCCGAGCTGTACCTGACGTACCCTCTCTGGGCTCTGGGACTGCTTCTCTCTTTTTCTTTCTACCCCTGCGCCTCTTGCGGCTTCGACTTCGGCCTCGACTCTCCTTCTTTCTTTCCTCCTCCTTTTTCCGCTGCTGCTCACGACGCTCCGCCGCCTTTCGCTCGCAGAGCTCCCACGGACCCTTTTGCACCACCCTGACTCCACTCTGGCCTCTTCCTTCTTCTCTTCTGTCTCCTCCTTCTCCGTCACTGCCTTCTTTGCTTTCTCTAGGGCCCTGTCCAAGCCCGTCGGGTCTGGGGTCGGTGGAACTGCAGCTTACACAGACATAGAGAGATGTCCTCATCATCCCCCACGACATTTTCCACCATCAAAACGGACCAAACCTTCATCCCTCGGGCGATGTCCTCGATCCAACCCAGGACCTCCACATACTTCTAGAACAACTTAGACCGAGGGTCTTGAAGGTGAATTCGATCAGCATTCAGTTTCGATATCCCCTGGCAAGGGGATCCACCTCCAGCCACGACTCCTGTCAGGCCCGGCACACTTCTCACGTACTTTTCAATGTCCCCTTTTGTCACTCGGGTGATGTCTGCCACCACATCGCGCCCGGGCCACCTTGTTTTGTTTAGACGCCGGCAGTCCGGGTCCTTCTCAATCACCACTCAGCAAGAGCGCCCGACTCAAACCTCCAATTCCTGCAAAGAGGTCAAAGACCAACACCCTCTGCGGCTCGTCCAAGTTAATACCCTCTCCTCCTACATCATCTTCCGCTTCCTCCAGGGCACACATCTCTCTGAGCCCTCGGGACGTCAACTTTGACCCGTACACCGATCCACCTCCTGTCTCCTTCGCATCAGATGCAGTCACAACCTCATGCAACTTAGCTCGTAAATCTGTCACCCTCAGGGCCTGGCTACATCCTGCCATCAGGATTTCCTCAACTGACTTCCCACTCAGCGGGATGAGCACCTCGCCGTCCGCAATGTCCTTCGAACACTCCAAAGAGCGGTCTCCGAAACTGCAGCGTGCGCACCTCTCGCCCCAAGAAGACTTGTAGTCCCTTTCACGGTGCCTTCTCTTGCCGCAGCAGCCAGAAAATGAAAGACAAGCTGTCGAGGGCCCTCTTCGTCGAACCTTTTAAGGCGCCACTGTCACCGTCCACCACTGCACCTAATTGTTCGGCCCTCCTTGCCCTCTGCAAGCTTTTCTCCCTTGAGAAGGGAATCCCCCAGTGGGCATAAGCTCGCCGCAGAGCCTCCTGCTCCTCCGAGCTCTTTCCTTCCAAGTCTTCCGCAACTCGGGCCTCCATGATCTCATACAAGCTCGTGTCATCCAAGTATAGCGACCATAGCTTGTCTTCCTCCTCCAAATTCGGGAAGACACTGTCCCTTCGAATCTCGCATTGTCCTAGGAGGCCTCCTCCGCCTTGCAAAGGGGATCTCAGGGCCAGTCTTCGACGGGCATGCTGTAATACCCCAACTGCCGAGGCCCATCCCATCGGCAGTACGGCCGCTCCAAAATAGGTTTCACCTTCTCTATCGAAACCTAAACTCCTCCACTGCACCTTCTCGGCAAACGTCATCATCTCTGGCCATCCAGGTGGCAGTGCAAACAAATAGAAAGCCGACACCAGATCATCGGCACTCATTCGGATCACTTTTCCGGCCGGCAATACTACATGCTGCAAGGCGGGCGCTCCTGTCAAGCTCCTGACATCGCCTTCCAGAACTCTGGTAGCAGCATTTGTCCCCCTAAAGTCCATGATCAATCTCAAGATGGGACGTTCATCATCCAAAAACTTGCCGGGCTTCACCACTCCAAAGCTGCCATTGACCAGGAATCTATCTCTCACCAACACTGGAGCCTCCACCGTCTTCACCAACCCCCTCTTGTACCGCTCAGCTGCAATCTTCTCCCACTCCTGCCTCGTGGCATGGATCTGGGGCCGAGGGATCTCTTGGGGCATCTCTTCGTCAGGAAGAATATTCCCCAAGAGATTTAGGAGCTTCTCTCTTACTTCACCCTCACACAGCTCCACCAATGGTAGAGATGCTCCATAACCTTCAGGAGGTGGCCCAGGCAACACCTGATCCAAGGTCAACCTTTGCCCTTTCTCGACGATCTCACCTTGATAAGAAATACGGACGTCACCAATTTTTCTACCCCACTCTCCTCCCATCTCCGGGGATCGAGGTATCTTGCTCTTGGACTCCGAACTATCATCAGCGAAAGCCTTCACCATGACTCATCGTCACTGCTCCTCGCTGGACTTTTGCCTGGCTGCCACCACCAGTCCACAAGAAGTTGAGGAGCACCACAGAGAGCGAGTGCCAGATCAGTAAACCGGCACGCCTTGCATGTCGGCAGGCCTTCTTTTCAGCCCCACCGAATTTTCTGAAGTCTCTGGATCAAAAAGGTTCCTGAGCTCCTCTTTTCCATCTGCCCACAGCGGCAGCGGAAGGATCTCCCTTCGCCTCCCGCTTTTGCCGTCGTCAGACCCCGGCGGCTCGATGGACCGTTTGAGGTAAGCACCCAGGTTCGTCCCACTTCTTAAGCACACCAAAGCTAGGAGTCCTCCTGACTGCGATATGCTTAGGGATCCGCACTCCTCCTCCTTCAGCCACCGCTGCGTCAACTCGAGACTCTCCTCAACTCCAGCTTCAAACTCCGCACTCATCAAACTGGTGTCTTCCCCTTCACTTTCAAGGGGGCGCTGGAAGGGCTTGACTCCTCTTCACAGGGTTCACTATCGCTTTCGCTCCGCCCCAGCTCTTCCACGGCCTTCCTCTCTCCGGCCAGGCTTTCTTTTGCCAAGCGGACCTCCTTGGCTTCCTTGAGTACAACTCTCCGCTGTTCGCCTCCTCTGATTTCTGGCGTCCGATCTCTTTTGGCTCTTCG